GAAAACTTTTTATTTAAATTTTAAATATTTTCTCTACATTTGAAATGGATCTTAAAATTCATACTATAAAAACAAAATTTTAACAAATAAAAGTAAGAGTACCATATTAAATGTTTTTCAAAAGCTTAGGGGCGGCGGCTGCTCCCCTTGTCCTTCACTGGCTTCGTCCCTGTTTTAACTATATAATAAACATGTTTATCTATGCATTTCCTACGTGGCCGCAGCGGCGGCCATGCTTTTTCTCAAAAGTGAGAAGCATGTGGAATGTATTTTGATCCGCAAGTTGAGTTTCATATTCGATTTTTTTAAAATAAATCCTAGCTTAACATTGTATATTTTTTTGTCAAGAAAAAATGTTTATCTATTGCTGCATGTCATTTTATTCTATACACCGATTTTCATTTTACAGGATGATCTAAATCTGATTGATTTGGACTAGTCATTCGGTGTTGGAAAAATTCTACATTGAACAAGATTTGGAAGCATGTATAGCCAGAACTTCTTTCCTTCAAATTAAGTGATTGAAGGCTAAATTTTAAGTCTTGTATAAGTAAAAATACACTAATTAAATTTTTCATAAGTGTATTAGGATTTTCTGAAAGGTCCAAAATACCTTTTTTTGACAAATAATTAAAATGTTAAACACTTATTAATTTTAATTAAATAAATATTAAAATTAAAAAATAACAATAAGTATAACTCTCCCTCTCATTTCTTTTATTACTTTGATTAATGATTTTTATTTTAATACCTGAACATAATTTAAAAATTCAATTTTAATAGCATGTTTATAACAACTAACCCTCACACAAATTCTGTGTCAATCTTGACAAAGATGTCAAGAATAGACGCAGAAGTAATAGCAGCATCAACCGGTTCAGTTACCTTCTTAGGATCTTCCTCGTGGCCCTCTCTCCACAAATCACTCCTTTTCACAATTGCAAAGCTGGTAAAAACAAAGCAATGAAATACCCATCTCAACAAATATATACTGGAAAAAGAGAAAAAAGAACCACCTTACCTCTCACCCTAATCCTAATCCACAAAACCTTTCTCATTGTTTTCAGATGGTTCTTCTCATGAAACCCCTCTTTCTTGGCCAAAATCTTGCACCAAAAAAGGCTGTGAATATGGAGGCATATGTTAGTCCTACCGTGGGAGATGTCAAAGAGAGAAAAGCTGGATGAAGGTGTTCATGTTTGCTTCCAAAATCAGTCCAAAAGGCAAATCATGGTTGATGGAATGGGAAATTGGGCACAAAAAACTTAGTTTCATGGTATGTTTTTCATCCATCTTTTATGTTTGCCATGGATGTGTTTTGAGTTTTCCCAAGAAAACTCTTCATGGATGTGGCTTTGGTGCCCTAAACTCCCACGGCTTCATGGCAAAGAATGTCTAATGGAGGTGTAACCAAAACCAAGCACAAAGAAGCTGAAAAATGGCAGGTCCTGAGGCAAGGTGAAAATGGTTTTTTTTTTTTTTTTCACAGCCTTTATACCAAGGATGTAATACCCCAAAATTTCTAGGATAAATAAGTGTGAGTTAAGGACTTGATTGTGATAAAAGATTGTTTTGGGGCCTAATATGAAAGTTCTGGAACTTGAGGGACTTAAAAGTGGAAGAGATTTGGATAAGGATCAGTTTCCTTCTTTTTCTTTTTCTCTTCTTTCCTTTCTTCCAGCCCGCGTGTTCTGCTCTTCCCGACCCCCCCTGTAGCCGAACAAAAAGAAAAGAACCAAGCCGCCGACACCAGCCTTGAGAAACCGGTAAGAAGCTTGGTATTTTCCCCTTCTTTTCTTGTTCTAGAACACACAAAGAACCCAGAAATCCTTTCCCCCTCTCTGCAGCATCCGGATCTGCTCTGCTCTTCCTCCCCTGTCCGCCGGCTGCCATGTGGGTGTGTGATTTCTGGGCATTTTTCCGGTAAGCCACAGCCATGAACTTCATCTTTTAGCTTGATTTAGCTTGGGTTAACTTTGGTTCTCCAATTTTTGGCTAGTCCGTGAGTTCCCCTGCAGCTTGCCGCCGGCTTCTTCTTCTCCCTGCAGCTCCGGTTTTAGCTGGAGAATTCTGGTATGTGGCAACCCTCCAAGCCCCCGAATTTGTCCATTTATTTGCTTTTAATTGCTGCCCTATTGTGTGTCCGAATTGTGCTGGAAAAATGGGGGAATTCCGGTAGCTTTAGGATAAAGTTTAAGCATTAATTCAAGTGGGATTTATGTGATTAAGTGTTAATTGATTGTTGTGTGATTTTTGGAGAAAATCCCGTGAATTAGCTAGTGTTTTGGCCAATTTTGGAAGTGCCGGTACTGTTCACGGTACTGTTCACGGTACTGTTCACGGTACTGTTCACACACCGATGGCCAACAATTAACGGAGATTTAAATGTTTAGTTTGTGATATAAGAACAAATTTGGAAATATCTGATAATGTGAAGATTTATAAAAATAGCATCATGATTAGGGATTAGTCATGATGATTTCAATGTCAATTTGTGATAGTACGGAATTAATTCTTGAATATTTGATTAGGTTCTTGATCTTTGGGGTGCTTTAGTACGTGAATTGAGTGCTCGGTTTTGTGCGAGTGAGGTAAGTAAATTTATGGTAATGCTCATATAGTTTTTAAAAGCATGTTTTGACTTGTTTTTGAAGTGGTGGCGGGACTAAACCTGTTTTACATGAGCATGACTGATTTGAAGTGAAATTTTATGCTTTTTATTAAATTGAGCATGCCTACTTGAAATTTAATTGATTGTCCTGATGATTTGAAAGTGATTGGTGAATTATGATTTTTCTATTAACTTCTGCCTGTTTTGTCTCCGATGTTGTCATGTTATTAGTGACCCTGCTAGTGAGGATTATACGCTAGCACATGTCGACATGTTAGTGATAGAGCCGGTTGTTCAAGTGACCCTGCTAATGGGGATTATACACTAGCAAATCGTGTGCCTGCCAGTGGGAGGTTTATAACACTGGCCGTGACCTATAGAGGAGACGTCTATTTCGTTCCCGTACTATATCCGTTTTTCGTGATTATACTTGTTGGCATGCTATGAGTTTAATAAGGGCACTCCATATTTTGCTTACTGAGTTTATTTCATAGTTTTTCCTTGTCCACCATTTCAGGAAGTGAAACCGAGGACGGGGAAACCATGGGAAGGGAAGAGTTAGAAGGCTAGCCACTTGTAAATTGATATAGATTTTAGAAATAAGTTATGATCTTGTAAGCTAGAGTGTACTTGGAGATTTTATGATATTAGAGAAATTTTAAAGATTTGATATGGAGATTTTGGTGGTATCAGATTGTGATATGATAACTTTCGAGCCTTGTGCATTTGTGGGACCCGTCTCGCGAGTGCACGGTGTCTGCCACGTCCCCGGATTTGGGTTTTGGGGCGTGACAAAGGAGGAGTGTTGGAGAAGCTGTGATGTTGGTATCACAAAACAGCAAAATGGTGCAGCAAGAAGCTGCATTCATGGTGCAACAATGGAAGAAAG